GTCATGGTGGACGGGAAGCGGAAGAAGGTAATGCGATATGACCCACTAGTCCACGTCCCCTCTGAACAAGTCCAGAAGTTTCATGCTTGGCTGGCGAACCCTAACACCGACCGCGCCACTCGCAAATCATGCTACGGTGATCGAGGAAAGACATGGTTTCGTGACCTTATCAACTCGGGCAAGTGGATGACGAGTGAGGTACGGGTTCGAAACCCCAAATATGTGTTGTACTGGTATTTAGTTTTTTTCGAACAACAATGACTTATATAGGTGATCGATTCGTTGTTCATGTTCACGCGGAACAAACTCGAGCAACGGCATGACTTGTGTTCTCGAAGATTCACCACCGGTGACATTGTCCTTGCGGTATGTAATATATATATATATATATCTCATACGCTGACCGTTTTTACAAATTCATGTGCTAACCGAAATTTTTTATTCCTTGCAGAACTTTCTTCGACGAACAGACGGACTATATCAACGCATGACAGCCCCGAACGCTGTACCTGCGAGAGTTGCAACGGAATACGATTGGGCTGGGAAGTGTAAGACCATCCTGAGCTATATGGACGGGACGCACACAGACTATCAAACACGATGGCTTGATCTGGATGCTATTTACCTGCCATACAACATCGGTGGCAACCATTGGATTATGCTACACATCGATCTGCAGGAGGGTGAGATCATTGTGTGGGATTCTATAAGGTCGATGACACCCTTTCCAGCTCTGGAGTCCGAGTTGAGGCCAATGACTGTTGTCCTACCAACGTTTATGCACAGGGCCGGTGTTCAGATACTGAGGCCGACACTACCGAATACGCCATGGCGCATTCGTCAAGTAACGTCCGCGCCCCAGCAAAGCGAGTCTGGTGACTGTGGAATGTTTTGCGTTAAATATTTCGAGTATGATGTAACAGGGTCAAATATGACCAGCTTAACTCAGGACAACATTAGTTTTTTTAGGGAGAAATTGGCCATAGAAATGTGAGCAAACCGATCTATATTTTGAATCTATTCCGCTTATTAGTACTATGCCATTATTTTATTACCTAGCTCTTACGAACTACTTATCCTGCTTCGTATAAGATAAATATGTTAAAAAAGCAATTTGATACATAAAACGAATCAATACAACATTGACCATTCATATTCCACCCAAAAGAACAAATTATGGAAATCACTGAAACATTTCACGGGCGAAATCGGGCTATTCACGGGCAAAAAATATTTCAGTCAGTGCAAATGAAGTCACTGAAATATTTCTCGGGCAAGAATATTGTCATTTCGCCCGAAAAAGTTTTCATCCACAAGTCTTTTTTGTCTCTGCACTATTTCACGGGCGAGAATATCATTATCACGCCCGAGAACTGCATTCATGGCAAGATCTCATCAACATTTCGCCCGAATATATGATGATCAGATTCCAATACACAAAAAAGAAAATACATGGAT